GAAAGAAAAGGAGGAAGAGAGAAGGAAAGAGAAAGAAGGAAGAAAATCAAACAAAAGGACAGACAGAGAAAAAAAGGAACAAGAAAACAACAAAAACAACGGAGGAATGACGAGAAAATATTGTGGAACGAGAAACCTACCTGGCTGAATATGACTCTCGAGAGGCATAAATTTCCCACAGGTACATAGGGCATTGGGCAGCGTCTACGGGGAGGTTTAACGGGTGATTTCTGGTCTTCGTCGCGGCTGTCAGTGAGGTTGTGATGACTGAGTTTGGCATCGTAGTGACGGTGGTGATGGTGGAGTTTGTGGTCGTGGTGTTTGTGGTGGTGACTGAGTTTGTGGTCGTGGTGATTGTGGTGGTGACTGAGTTTGTGGTCGTGGTGATTGTCGAATTTGTGGTCATGGGGATGGTGGTGAGGATGGAATCTGTGGTGATAATGCTGACTGTGCATGTGGTGACTGTGGTGAGAGGGGTTGTGATAGAGGGAATCGCTCTGTCTGTTGAAGAGAGAACGCCAGAAATGATAAGGACTGAAGGGAGGACTGCCTTCGTGGTGGTGACTCGAGGGAGAAAAGCGATGGTGGAGGTGATCGTGACTGCCGTGTTGGAGAGGACCCTCTCTGTAATGGCGTGGCGAATCGTACTTGTGGTGACTGAAGAGTTCGTGAGTCTGAGGATCGTGGCGGGGATAGTGATAAGGGGATTCGTCGTGACCTCTGCGCTGAGACCCCAAATAAACATGGCGGTCGCGCTGTCCTGGGACCCTGTGAGACACTGAGTCTCCTCCTTCTCCTCCCAGCAGCGGGAGAGAACTGAGCTTGCCCTGGCCTGGGGTAGCGGGCTCGGTCACTCCTGCTGGGGTAGCTAAAGGAGTCCCGTCGACAGGAGAGTGTCCTTGCTCGTGGGACGCGTCGCGGCTTCGACCTGAGTGCCGAGGAGGAGAGATGTGAACTCGCTGGCCCTGAACAGGAGAAGAAGACGAAGAAATGCCCAAGTGCCCATGCCCGGGTATTGGTGCGTGACTCGGATACCCATGACCGAAAAGAGAACCGTGATTTAAACGACCGTTCTCTTCAGGATAATTGTGACCTCGGTGCCCACGCCAAGGGGAAGGACCTCGGATGCCAGGAGAATAGCTGTGACCCCGATGCCCATACCCAGGGACCGGATCTTGACCTCGATGGAGTATATTAGCTGTTCCCTCAAAGCAGAGTACTGAGGGGAAAAAAGGATTGTCATTGTTACATATATCACGAGGTGGAAAGGGAAAGTGGAGAAGAAATAGGGGGAAGGGAAAGAGAAAGGAGAAATAGAGAAGAACCAGAAAAAGGGGAAGAGAAAGAGAAAGGAGAAATAGGTGAGAATCAGAGTGAAAAGGGGAAGATAAAGAGAAAAGAGATACAGCGTAGAACCCAATAAAGAAAGAAAAGAAAGGGGGAAGAAATTATGAAATGGAAAAGAATCAGAAAAAAAACAGAAGAAATAGTAAAAAAAAGAGTAAAGAATAATAAAGTGAGGAAAGGTGAAATAAGGAAGAAATAAACAAAATGCAATATAGAGAAGAGATAAGTAGTGAAAAAATCTGAAAAAAANGTTGTGTTTGTTATTATCATTATTTCTTTTTAATTCATCTCCTTTTCATTACTAAATACTGCTGCTGATGGTATGAGGATGGGCATACTAATTATTTCACTCACGTTCATACTATTCTTGACATTGCTGATTGTATCATTACCGCTACTATTATTCTAATCGTTTATAACTAGGTGCTTTCATCATTACAGTCATCATCATCACCATCTACTTGCCTAAATCTGCGTAGTTCAAAATAATAGTAATAATGATAAAATCAATAGTAATAGTAATAATGATAATGGTATTAGATAATAAAAGATGGTGATAATGATAGTTATAATAATAATCATGATAAGGATAACTTCAGTAGTAATAATGATTAGTAATTTTGATAAATATGTAATAATGATAGATAATGATAATGATATTAACGATATAATTAATGATATTAATGATAACGATGGTAATAATAATTATTATGACTAAAGTGACGATAAACATAATGATAACAGTGATAATGATAACAACAACAATAATAATGATAATAATTGATGATAATGTCCTGCAGCCAGACGGGCCTTTTCGAGAGCCAACCTTCAGCTCTCTGACCACCGTCTCTCTCTCTCTCTCTCTCTCTCTCTCTCCTCTCTCTCTCTCTCTCTCTCTCTCTCTCTCTCTCTCTCTCTCTCTCTCTCTCTCTCTCTCTCTCTTCTCTGTGTGTGTGTGTGTTGTGTGTGTGTGTGTGTGTGTTGTGTCTTCTCTCTCTCTTTCTCTTCTCTGTGTCTTTCTTCTCTCTCTCTCCTCCCCCTCCTCCTCCTCCTTCCTTCCCCCCCTCTCATCCCCTTCCTCCTCCTCTTTCCCCCTCCCCCTCATCCCCCTTCCTCCTCCTCCTCCTCCCTCCACTCCTCCTCCCTCCCTCCACTCCTCCTCGCTCCTTCTCCTCCTCCAGACCCCGCCCCTCCCCCTCCTCTTTCCTCCTTCCTCCCCACCCTCTCATCCCCTCCTGCTCTCCTCCTCCTCTCTCCCCCTTCCTCCCCATCCTCCTCCTCCATCCCCCTCCCCATCCTCTCTCCCCCTCCTCCTCCACTCCTCCTCCCTCCTCCTCCTTCATCCTCCTCCAGACCCCGCCCCCTCCACCCCTCTCATCCTCCTCCTCCTCCTCCCCCTCCTCCTCCCCCTCCTCCCCCCTTCCTCCTCCCCCCCTCCTCCACTCCTCCTCCCTCCTTCTTCCTCCTCCAGACCCCGCCCCCTCCACCCCTATCACCCTCCTCCCTCCTCCTCCCCCCCTCCTCTCCACTCCTCCTCCCTCTCCTTCCTTCTCCAGACCCCGCCCCTCCCCCTTCTTTTCCTCCTCTCCTCCTCCACCTCTCTCATCCCCTCCTCCTCCCCCTCCCATCCTCCCTCCCCTCCTCCCACTCCTCCTCCTCCCTCCTTCCTCTCCTCCCCTCCTCCACTCCTCCTCCTCCCTCCTTCCTTCTCCCTCCTCAGACCCCGCCCCTCGCCCCCCGCCTTCAGAACCGGCTCGCAAAACTGGTTATCCCCCCCAAAGGGACCGAATCTTCACAACGCCCACTTTGGCTGACGATGCCACACACATTTTGCATTTGGTCTCTCTCTCTCTCTCTCGCTCGCTCGCTGTATGCGCCACATATATATATATATATATATATTGCTCGCGTCAGACGGTGCTGTCTCTCTTCTCTCTCTTACATAATTCTTGCCAGGGTTTATGTCGCGGTTGTGGTTGTGCGAAAAGGGTAGCGGCGGGAGGGTTGAGAGTTGTTTATTTTTGTTGTTATTGAGAGGGGGAGGTCTTTTAAGATGCGCATTCTCAGAGGCGCTGTTGGAGCGTGGCTGGGTATCTTGGCCACGCGTTGCAGATGTCACTTTTGTTGTTGTTGTTGTTGGTTTTATTATTTGTTTATTTATGGTTATTATTATTGTTGTTATTAATATTATT